TTTTGACCAGCGTTTCAGAGATAGTCGTAATCATCTACTATGGTTTCTCGACGACCCCGTTGAGCTCGTACCGTGCACCATGTTTCCGTGGGAAAATCTTCTGATGTCGTCGGTGTAGAAAGCCCTATGTAATTTTTTGATAGAATAGAATGTGCTCTTCAATATGCAATTGAGCTCATTCGGTTTGGTTTTGGCAAAGTGTAATTAATTCTGTTTTGAATGTGAGTGAGAGTGACTCTTTTTTTGCCCCCCCCCCTGTAAATTATGCGACAACGAATGGATGGAGTTGTTTGGCCATTGAGATTCATCCTTAATTTTGATTGCAGGAATACACATTTGATAGAGGCGCCGCGCTACTGTCCTGACCTGGGTAAAACTCCCAATGGGTCTGTATTATACTGGAGCGCGAAGAAATCAAAACAAATCATGATAAAAAGCGCCACCTCTGCGAATGAAGTGAAACATCAACTATGCTTTATTCGGTGTCGGATGTGTGCATCGCGGGTAGCTGGAAGTCACTTCGCGACGTCGCACCCACATGTAATTTACGTCGCCGCCAACACTGGAGCGACTGTGTGTGACTGCTGTGTGTAGTACGTAGTACACTCTACACTTGACCCACAATCCAAGCTCGGTGCGTGCTGCGCATTACACAGAACACGCAACACTCAGTAAAACTATTCAAAATTGTCGCGCTACTCAGAGCTAGAGGGCGCGACGCCGCGCGGTGACTTTCTACTACACACTAGCCTGTGTCGACTTTAGAGGTAATATTTCGACGGAGCTTCCTTCATTTCACTTGATCTGTTATACTCAAAGACAAACTGTCCAGATCACCCATACTGTTGTGAAAAGCCTTTTCAGAGAATTACAATATGAACGCGATTTGAAGCGACTCCAAGCTCAACTAAATGATACAGAGGATCAGTTTGTACGAGTAGAATTAGAATTATCAGAGACAAAAAAGAAGATAGAAGCATTAATAGAAGAGTGAGTAACATGACTAGCCTTCTGCATTCACCTTGGTTATTTTATCTGTTCGCTCCAGAATTACAAGAAAGAAGGCACGTATTAGAGATTTGGAGAAAAATGAAAAATTGTACTCACGAACACAAGAGGAAATGGAAGCGAAAGTAGAAATGTTGAGTAAACAACTTGATCAAATGCAGCGTCATAATGAAGTACAAAAGGAAAGGGTGGGTACAATAGATAAAAGATTCGGCGGTCAGTTTTTCTAGTAGTTAGCAATGTTCTGCTGTGTGGCAACCCAGTTGGTGGGCAGGGTTAGCCGATTCGCACTATTCAAACGGGGGGGGGGTGGACATTTGTAGATTCGGGAAGTCGGTTGCATTCTGGGTCTGAGCAAGGTTATCATAGTGGGAACGGAAGTTGGCGGAGATCGTTATGGTCGTTGCTTGGACTTGTTTTTGGTCGCTTGACGAATGTACTTTACTTAAAGTTCATCGAAAGTAGTGAGCCGAATGCTAAAAATTGTGGTGATTCTCCGCTCAACCATAACCAATTTGCTCCCTTCTCTCCCCCCGCCCTCGATGAATGCTCCCGCTTTGGCGTTGAGGCGGAGTTTGGGTCTGTGTCGAGTGTCGATTAGTCGCAGGCTCACACCAAGCAGTATAGAAACAGGATGATGGCAAGGATTGTGGTCGAAGAAGGGGCGGCAGATCTTATTGGGGGAGCCTTCTAACGATAAGACTGATAGTGGTGATGGGTCGGATTGATACCCCCCCCCCCCCCTAAAGGGGGGGCGGTACAAAATCTTTGAATAGTGCGCCTCCCACCGTAATGGTGATGAGTCACAAATTCCAGCTTTCCACGTATGTCAAGTGACTTGTCCCACCCGTAGTAGCATAGTGTAGTGCGAGAAAAGTGTGCGACTCTCGCTTTTGTACAATCACTTTCGGGATGCGCCAAGGACTCTATTTCCACTCAGAATCGTAGTGGCAGTCCTATGCGATATAGTCTTCAGAGTGGATGGCGGGGCCACTCGATGGATCTATCCTCGCAGACAGGTGCGGCATCAATTAACCGACCCTGGAGGGCTTGGTTGGCCAGGTTCAGATTCGATACAGGATTTCACCTCCAGACCGTACGCACAGGGAGTTAGGCTACTTTGCACAACTTCCGAGCTCATGGATACTTCGTTCAGTTGATGGAGTACAAAGAAAACGAGGACAAATGGGAAGAAAAGAAAGCAACTCTGGAAGAAGCACTCAACAATAGAAACAGCTCAGTCCTTCTTCTGGAAAGGAAGCTGCGAGATGCTAATGATGAACTTTTGAACCGCTCAAAGGTAAGAGTACAATTTTTTGTGAACACATATGTTGAATATCTGCCACTCTTCCAAAATATGTAGCTGCGTGTAACTCTTATGAACCACACTACGCAATGGATTAGAACCGATGACATTGGTGGTAGGTGAGGGTCCTATTTCAGGAATCTCCGAGACGTTGTAGATCAAAAATGGCAGCTAAAAATTAGCACCTGCAGTGTAATGGATGCACATTTCGTCTTCAGGCATTACAAAACGCTGAAAATGAGTGCTCACGTCTTCAACGTGAAGCAGAAGAACTCAGGCGAAGCAACGAGACCCAAAGGGAAGAATATCAAGCTTCTGTCGCAGACTGGAGGAGTCGTCTTGAAAAAACGGTGGGTAATGGGAGAACGAAACAAACTTACCAACTAGACGAATGAAGTAGTTTCCATCTTGTCCTTTTTATGAGGATCTTGTTCGCCAAAGAAGGGAAGAAGTCACGGAACAATGTCGTATGAGAAAGCTTTGCAGGTGGCCGACCACTTGTCTTCTTGTGCAGCTGACATGGAAAGAAACGCAAACGTGGCCCGAGAAATGCGCGCAAAAACAGAAGAGGTAAACATCTTCGCATTTTCTTAGGGTCGAGTAAGACTGTTACGCATAAACAGGTAAACTGGTACAGAGTCCAGTTTGGTCAGGGGTCGAAATCGTTCAGTTTCCGTGCAATTGCATAGCACAAAAGGTAGCGAGTTGCTGATGGTCGTACTCACGATGTCGTGCATCTTCCCTGCAAGCTGTGTGGAATCGTGGCTGACAGGAGCGTCGATACAATACGTACTACCACTTCATTTCCCTCTTCTGCTATAAAAGCACTGTCAGAAACGAAGCAGTCAGAATTCCCTCCAGAGCCTGAAGAAGTTTTCAATCGAACCCTGCGCGGAGGAGTATGGTACGCTTCTCGGGTGCGAATACCAGGTATAGAACTAGGAGAGATCTGAGCTATCTGAGCCCATATGTGCCTGGCACGGCGCTGTTATAAGAAAATAGCGCCTCAAATCAAAGATTTATGACGCAGACCTTCGAAATATCACGAATCACGGTGCTCATCATTGGCTCAGGCTGAGGAAACTGAAGGCCGCCGTGTTGTATGGGTTATGAAAGTAGAGTGAAGCGACAAGATTAAAGGAGGAATTCACGATTAGAATGAAGGTCGAAGAAAGGGAAACTGACCTAGTTGAGGGACCCACGGACCTCCTGAGGGTGCGAACTGACGCGCAATTCGCATGGAAAAATTTGACCTCGGCGACCTATCATGCCTCAAAGCTGGCGGGTCGGCGATCTCCGCCCACCGACC